ATATACAATTATTTATTTATATATATATATGTATACCCTTAGACGTACACACCTAGGAAATCATTCTGCAATGCCTCTTTTGAATGATGAGGTTCTCAGCAACAAAGCAGATAAAAAAAAATAAAATAAAATTACAGTTTGAAGAGGCTATGGCCTAATACATTGCCTTTTATCATTCTATGCAGTTACGAGGTGTTTTTATTGATATTTGTCTAAGCCGAGGGAAGGAGGATGGTAATGTCATTTAATCTAATTGACAATGTTCTAATTTAAAATCGTAAAAATGTGCTCACAGCTTCCTCAATAAAGTCCTTATTTGTCTCTGTCTGCCTCCGTTTATCTGCATTATCTCACAGGATGGCTTGGTGATCAACCACCATGCAGACCACACACTGAACAGCTTCTGCCACTGGCAGTCTACCCTGGGAGGCAGAGAGGGCCGACACCACGACCATGCCATACTCCTCACAGGACTCGACATCTGCTCTTGGAAGAACGAACCCTGTGACACTCTTGGTATGTCTTCTACATTGAAAAGTTGATTCTGCAGTTACAAATTGCCTCAAAGTGTAATTTGGGACAAGATAGAGGCAAGAACAAGAGGAAACACTCTTTGTTTCTTGCTCTTAATAGAAATATGTAATTTTCTTTCGCTGTCTGTATTTCTCTGGGAAGGTTGCCCTGTCTTCTGTCACACGATGTGTGACTGTGGGTCACATCAGCCAAACCAGATGTTGAAAAAATCTGCAACTTTCAGATCCTTTCACCCCCCCAGTATCACACACTGTATATAGTAATGTGGAAAATTGTTCAACAGCAGATAAAACGAAAATTATTGTAATAAGTATAAAGAAGCATTATGGCAAATCTGAAACATGTATATATATATATATATATATATATATATAGATCTAGAAAACATGACACACATTGCTGATGCAACACAGAAATTTAGGCTATTAGTTCAGAAAATGAAACATACCAATTGAGTCTTCATTCAAATCACAGAACATTCAAAAAAGTACAGACCAAGTTCATCTACTTTAAACACACACACACATCTAACAAACTAACAACAGCTTGTTTGTGGTAATGACCGTGCCAACACATTGTTGTCTTCCGCACTGTGAGAAAAAACTTCCATTGTGTGTCCCAGAGAAACACAGAGTGACACACACTCAGGCACACACACACACATATGTACGAACAAACACACACTATCTTCAAACCCCAGACTCCAGTTTTGACTTCAAAGTGTTGAGGCCAGCATTAGCCCTAATCGTCGCTATGCAAGCTGAGTTCAAAGGTCTGTGTGTGTCTGTGTGTGTCTGTGTGTGCGCAGTCAAGAAAGAGTTCGGACTAATTCCCAACGGTGCAAGACAAAATGACCATTAGTGCTACCAGTCACTATATAACAGTTTATTTGCATTACTGTTACAGCCCTATACCTCAATGTTTTCCTCCATATTTCAAAACCAGTATATAATATCAATGATCTACCTCTTTGCTGACACAAAAAAGGAATTAAATGGTAGTTCTCACAGTCAATCTGCCTGCTTATGTTTAATATCAATACATTATACACATTAGTTATGTACATGAGAACATTACTGTAGGGGTTTTGCACTCTGTGGCGAATGACTTAGAGCAGTAAAATAACAAAACACAAGGCTAAATTCTCCCTGAGACACTGAGACAAAAACATTAAGGGAGGCCCCTGTGGGTATTATCTTTTTTTATTCAGAGCCAGGGGTGCTGTGTGTGTGTGTGTGTGTGTGTGTGTGTGTGTGTGAGGAGAGAGGCATGGAGGGAGCTGAATTGTAAAATGGAGTTTAATAGAGAATGAGAGATATGAGAAAGAAGTGAAGACAGAGGAAGAATGTTTTAAAGTGAAGTGAAAGGTAGCAGGGGAATCTAGGAATGTTCCCACAGAATCCCATATTTTAACACATGGAGAGGGTTTAACCCAGTTATGGTGTGGTTGTTATTTCATGCATGCAGTCCACAACTAGCTCAAACCGAGGTGAGTTTTCTGCTTTCCATCTGAGAGAATCCTTTTTGCACACATATATTTCCGTTGGAACCGACTGAGTTGATCAAATAATTTATTTATGATGTAAGATTTGTAAAACTGTATCACTGCTTTTGCAGGTTTTGCTCCAATTAGTGGCATGTGCAGCAAGTACCGGAGTTGTACCATTAATGAGGACACAGGCCTGGGTCTGGCATTCACCATCGCCCATGAATCCGGGCACAAGTAAGGGTTTCCATCCCTCTCATGATCACATGATGACCAAAAAAAGAAGTGTCGACCATCAACCACAACATCTCTGTTTCACATTTGGTCCCTTTGTGCATGTCATTCTCTATCACTCCCCATGTTAAAGGCATAAAATACTCTACAAATAAGTATGTGTCTAAGAATGTTAGTTGGTGCCATTATAAATAATCCAGTAGAATACCAAATGCTGCATTCTCCCAGATGATTATAGATATACACAAAGGATGTTTTCAAGAATTTTTTTATGTGCAAAAAGTCACAAGCTGATTATTTAATCCTTTAGGTACCCATAATGTAATGCTGTGGTTTCTGCTTGCTCACCCTTGCTACAAACATTTTTCATGGTACCTTTTTTTCCTTCCCCAGTTTTGGAATGGTCCATGATGGTGAAGGGAACGTTTGCAAAAAGTCAGAGGGCAACATCATGTCTCCCACATTAGCCGGTCACAATGGTATCTTCTCCTGGTCTGCCTGCAGCCGCCAGTACCTCAGTCGCTTCCTCAAGTAAGCAGCCATATTTTCTGCTAGTGCTATGCTTTTGTTGTGGTGAACAATGCTAAAAACTTTGATTTAAGAAGCACTTATTGTTGATGATGACATTTATGGGTAACACTGCTTGCTGAGTCTTATTAAGTGTTCAGACCATAAGAGCTACGTTGCATCCAAATGGCATATTTTTGAGTAATGAGCCAAACCCATTGCCAGCTTTTGTTAAGTGCCCATGCAACAAAGACGTAAAGCAGTGTATCAGTTTATAAAATAGTATTATTAAAGCAGAGACAGAGTCCCCCTGGCAATAGCCACTCTTAACATGCATTGTGTTTATATTATGCAGCATGTGTTACTGATAGATGAACATGTGTTGTAGAAAAATATGTCAGCAGCAAATATATCAGTGACAAATGCTGCTCTGATCTAAAGAGTGCCAAGTGAAAAACTGCTCTTATGTTTTAACTATTACTGAGCTCGCCTACAGTGCAAAAGGAAGGACAAACAGACCTCCTGTATATATGTGTGTGCGAGGCTGAAATATAAAGCTGACATAGCAACTAAGTGATATCTGGTGGCGGCGCTGCTGTTGTTTTACAGACTGCATACTGCATGTATTATGTGTCAAGGAACATGTGAGTGAACATGCACGAGGGAGAAAGTCGTGTGCGTGTTTGTGCAATAACTTCATTTTCATGCAGACAGCCTGCTCATCCAAGCGAGGAAAACAAGCATCACAGACATAGCGTCCATGTGTCTGGCTGTGTTTCTATGTGTCTGTGCTTGTGTGTGTGCTTGAAACCAGATAACGCAGTGCCAGTACCATACACTAAATTTACCAGTGTGTTAACTGAACTGTCAGGTCTCCCCTCTCAGAGTGGTGGAGACAGACAGTGTATTTCCTCGCTGAGTTATTAGAGCTGGGGTGACCTCACCCTTGTTAGGCCTGTCAGCCTTATATTAAACTCCCATCACCCCCTGAGGCCACGTGCAGGGGATCTCTGCACCACTAAGAGAACCAGAGGTCGTCTTCCTGTATAATCACTGGATGATAAAAATGCTGAAATGCTGTACGTTTTCCTAATTGCAATCAACAGAATGTTATGATATTTAAATGTTTTTGGCTAAATGTGTCTCGTTGAGTTAACTGAGACGCCTAAATGTCTCTACCTTCATCTACTTTGGAGGCGAGTGTTGTGTCAGCCAACAGACCTTAAATCACACTCACTCTAAATCTGCCTCTCCGCAGTCAGCTATGACAGAGAGGTCTGTGCCAGCACTGTATGTATAGTCAGATGCATTATCTGAGCGCTTTGTCATGCCTAAAATGGATGGACAAGTTTCATGGCAGGGGAAGCAAAATCTCCTTAAAAATCAGAAAGATCTTCTTGAGGTCCCATTTCTGCTTATAACCAAATTCTGAGGAGACGTCTCTGTGTCCCTTGTAGAAGCTCTTGAAATACGCTTATTCACCTTCTTGTTGACAGTCAGATGAAAAGAGCAAAACCACTCCCTAGTCTATAAGATATGCATGTGGAGCCAGCAGTAGGTTATCTTTCTATTTTAGAGTGGAATAAGGATTATTATACAATTTTGTTGTCTTTGTAACCAACAAACCATGGTGAATATAAAATTCCTAGCAGTTTTTGTCAGAGAGAGATAAGTCAGAAGATCTGCAGGGAATCCTAGAAAAGAATGGGTGCTTTTTCAATTATTTATTTATTTATTTATTTTTAAGCTCAGCTGATGGTAAGCTCGTGGCGTACAGTGCTTACAGGTCCAATTTGGGGAAAACATTTCCCCCTAAGCTTCTTGAATACAAAAAAAAAATCAGTTAATACAAAAACTCTAAGATCCTGCAAATTAGTTACACTGGGCTTATAAAGATATGTGTGAGCGACTGCCTGCGCATGCCGACCCACACACTTTTGTGTGTACGCTGTAAATGTAATGTATTTTTCAGAAACCTTATAATGTGAATAATGTAGAATATCAGAATATTACACTTGTAGAACAGCCATTGTTCTCTGTAGACACATAGGACCCATAAAGCAATAGAAGATCTCACACACACATACAGATACACATATACTCTGCTAAAGCAATCAGGACCACTCAATAGCACGATAAACCCTTCCAACATATTTTGCCTTTTCATGCTCTTTCCACCATATTCTTGTATTATATTCCCCTGACTGCCCTGTACGCTGTAAAACATCTCAGTATAGTAACCAGTGATATCAGTTAACATTGGAAACCCCCCGCTGGTGTTAGTATATGAGCGATAGGAGCAAGGTTTTTTATGTCAGTTATAATTGAGTGTCTGATGCTTTAAAACTATTACTCTCAGGGTTTGAGTTTGGCAACTTGTTATGTCTCCATAGCAACACTTACATTGCGGTACTCTCCAAAGTGGGAAACCATGGAACCGTGGACTGATAGCTCACAGCATGGAGCCTGACATACCAGCTACCTTACATTTATAAAGCATGGCACTCTGTTTCATGTGTGTTTAGTTTAGTTTATTAGGATCCCCATTAGTACAGCAATGCAGCAGCTAGTCTTCCTGGTGTGTGCATACATGTTGTATATCATGTTGTTTAAAGATCAATGATTAATTCTGTTCTCTTCCCTTTCTTCTCCTGTCCTCCACTGACCCTCTTATTGCTGCTCTGCTCATCTTGTCCCACTACTCTTCATCTCTTTATTCTTCCGGTACTTTACCTACTTTTAAATTACTTCCTCGCTTATTCTCCTCGCCTCTCCTCCAGTTCCGCCCAGGCTCTGTGCTTATCAGATGAACCCAGAGCAGTCAAGGAGTATCGGTACCCTGAGAAGCTGCCGGGCGAGCTGTATGATGCAGACACACAGTGTAAATGGCAATTCGGGGAGAAGGCCAAACTCTGCACCCTCGACTTTAAGAAGGTAAAACTGATTTTTTTTTAAATGAGTTTAAAAATCCCATGCCATGTTATAATTCTCTCTGGGGTTTTCTCAGCATACCCACTCAAAGACAGTGCTTAATTAGTTTAAAACAATCTGGTGGCAATTGTGTCTTAGGAAAAACAGAGAAAGAAACTGAGAGTGGGATGGGAGGAATGAGGTAGAGGAAAAAAAGAAGAATAAAGGAAAAAGGAAGGAAAAGAGAAAACTGATTATGGTTGCATGCCCTCATGTGCATACACACACTCATACATGTATGCTGTATTCTCTTTTTCTCACACACACACAAAATAAACAGTGAGAGTTAAAATGCTTGCCCATGAAATACTCACTGGGATGGATGACTAAATATACACTGGAGTGTTGCCAATGGGAATCTCTTCGTGTTGCTCTCCCATTGTCTCATTACTGCTGATGTTACTGTTTGAGATACCCTGCTGGAGTCATGATAGAGTTTAGATTACATCAGTGTTTAATGGCACAGTAAAGGTGTTTCAAATAATTGGTGTGTTTGCAACTGGATTAGAGATCTTAATGGGTCCACATATAGTAGCCCTCCTAACCTGAAGATGTACCTGCCCTTCCAAAGAAAGGGGTCAATGGACAGTTATTTGTTTTTCTTGAGACAGTGGTTTCTTTTCTCTCATATGTATAAAAGAATATGAAGTATAGTGAAGTCTGTTAACTTTATTACCAACTGGGCATGTTCTTAAATTTAATCATTTAATCAATCGTGTGTTTGGGTTGCCATTGATTGTGATCAAATGGACCAGTCTGCCACCCAGGAATTTATTGTGTACTACACTGTTTTATACAATTTATTTATGTATTTTAACAATGCCTCAACCAGCCCTGTTTCTGTAACAGCTGAAAGGGACACACAGGTCAAGGTTTTTGGAATTTCCATTGAATACTGAATACTGTTCCACACAGTCATGTTTTTCATGCACTGTGAATGTGGCAGACATTATTAGTTGTCACTGTTTAAAAGCATCAACACTTGATGGGATACAGATTTAATGTTTCTTAATACATGAAACATGACTGGCAGCAAACCAACAAGATTCTTCCTCTTCTTTACTTTTGAGGTTTTCTGCTTTATTGAAGACCAACATGGAAAAACACAGTTGGGAAAGAGGCTTCAGAACACCACAAAGATTATTAGCTGGATTTGAATATCAGCACATGGTATCCTCCTTAGCTTCATCAAAACATCAAAGCAGCCATGTGTTATTTAGCTATAAGATATTTCTTCTATTTGAGAGTTGCTCCCTCAAGCTTTTGGTTTTGGTTTTACACCGTCTTTACTCATGCACCTGGTAGCAGCAAGGTGCACAGGACCCAAAAAATCTCTAAGCAGCCGTCAGGCTCACTGTCTTTCCAGACACTTGTTACTCATAAAAAATACTACAGAAATCGGCCTCAGCGGTGCAATTTATCGTGTAATGAATTCATATTTCATGAAACCTTTTGGCAGGCGTTGTCAAGATAAGGTGTCGCTGGAGGAGCCAAATGATACTCTCTATGGTGTGTGTGGTTAGATAGAGCAGGGTTACCCCAGCAGCGCGCAAAATATGGGTGTTTTTCCCTATTCCTCTCTTTAAGTCTGTGTCTCACACTGTCTATCATATCTCTCCGCCTCTCTCTGCCATTTTTACTGCTACAAAAGGCCTGAGCAAGCAAAACAGCTGGACAAATAGGCCTTGGGATGAATTCCATGGTGGCTCTTGGCAGCAACAAGCTGAGGCCGCAGTGCCTGTCAGCATCTGCACTGAGTTGTCAAAATCTGATATAGTCATTCAGATAGTAATAGAGTGGACATGTTAAAAAGTAGCAGGCCATGTTTCTCAGGCAATGTGAGTAGGGAAACCACCCGGTGCTCCCATCTGAATATTTCATACCACTCCTGAACAACACGGCCATGACATCATGTAGGTTTGGTAAGGCAATTGTGCCCATTTAAAGCATGTTATTGCCCAGCATTATCTCTTTGATGTTTATATAATGTTTGTGTTTCACTTTTGTCTGACTGTGAGGTGTACTGTATGTTAGGCAAAAAACGTGTAAGAAAATTGTATGAAAATGCAGCTTTTTCCATTTAATTATTTTGTCATTCTGCTGCAGAAACAATGGGAATTGTATGATCAGTGATGCATTGCATTGCCTGTGGGATAACGCCTTGTAGCAGTTGGACTAAATTGCATGTATTTCTCTTCTTTTTTTTCAAAAATGTTTTTATCCTAGCTACTGAAGCATAAATATTTTGGAGATACAAGGTTGCTGCACACTGATAGCTTGCCAGAAGATCATTATTCAGACCATCTCGATTTCAACAAATTTCCATCAACATGTTTTAATAGCTCTCTAGTGGCAAAATAACAATGTTATCATAATTGATGTTCCTTCCCAGTGCTACATTTGTTTACAGCTGTTGTGAATAGGATACTGATCATCCCACTTCGGATATTTGGAGCGCAAAAACATTGCAGTGCCTTGTAGCTTACCCTTTGCCTTTCTCTCGTGTTGTTCCAGGATATCTGCAAGGCTCTGTGGTGCCACCGTGTTGGGAGGAAGTGTGAGACCAAGTTCATGCCAGCCGCTGAAGGCTCTGCCTGTGGCCCTGATATGGTGACTTAACACGTGTTTTCATGTGTGTGTGTGTGTGTGTGTATGAGGTGGAGGAGGGTGGGTGATATGCTCACAAGCTTTGTCACTTCAAGAGTGGCAACACATGACTGGCATGGGAACCCTTACACTTCTGCTGAACTTTTTTATCCATCGCCTTTGAAGCAATTCTAGTGGTCATACGAAAGACATTTCCAACAGCTAGCAGGGACACGCAGCTAGACACCTCTTTCTTCAGGTTGTCAATAATCATGTTTTTGTTTTTAAAAAATGCCATCCATTCAGGAGGTAGAGTGACACTTTAATTATATCATCAGTAATAAAATATTTGTTCCATTTTAGCTGAGGGGGCCAACGGACTTTGCAGTTGATAAGCCTTTAGGAAACTTTGTGTTGTTTTGTCAAATGAGGACACCATGTGTTTTGTTTTTTTTTCTACTTGACTGTTGCTAGTGTACTGCTTCATAGCAACATCTTTCCAAATAAATCCACAAATGAATGGCACCAAACAAGAGCCTCTCACAAACATTTATTTGCAGTTTTGGTGGAAATATGCCTTCCAACAGAACACAATACAAACAAGAACATTGGAATTGACAGCTCTTAGACTCCCTGCACAGTATTAATAGATTAAGCAGTATTAAAAGACCATTGAAATAAGTGAATGTTTTCAGTGTGCTGCTTAGTATTATCAATTGGGTGACATTTAGTATAAGAAGGGTAAAGAGATGTCTCACACACAGTCGCATGCATAGATTCCTCCTCCAAGGGATACCACAGACCCCTGAGTGCGTACATTGCACTAGACAAAGAGTGTTTTATAAGGTTAACAGGTTAAATTGAGGGAGATACTATTATAAAAGTAACATTTATTGAGTGTTTTAGCGTTAAACAGTACTGATACTCCACCTCAGGTTAGCCATTTGAAGACAAAAGGCCTTCAACTGAGTGACACTGCACTTTTAATGGCGTCTTTTTACACACCAGTGTGTCACAGCGCAGACCAATAAATTAACTTGTAAGCAAAGAGTTTGGATTGACTTTACTATGTTTTAGATTTGGGTTCATTTGAGTGCAGTGTCAATAAAATCTCTCTTTCTGATAGAGGTACCACACTCTCCCTCTATTATTTTACCTCAGGGAGCAGCTGCAATTGGTTTGCTGCTGACGTGGCAAAAATATGCCATTGGGGTCCGGGCCAAAAAGCAATCTGTGCTCTTTATTTATTCTTTGTTTCCTTACTTCTTTAAAGATGACTCTCCCCCAAGGCTCGCTCTCTCTTACCCTCACTCCCCTGACAGCCCCTCTTCGACATTTGCGTCTCAATATATTGAACTTGATGGTTTAATCCCGCCCTCTCCCTACATGGGACAATTAACTGAACACAAACAATGACAGGCTCACTTAGGAATCCATGGCACTCAGCCGCAGGGGGAAAACTGAGGGGAAATCAGCTGTTCTAGTTCTTAGTCAAGGACTATGAGATTAGTCGGAGGAGTGTGTGTGTGAGCTTGTGGGATGAACACACAGTAAACAAGAACAAGAATATATGCCCCCATATCGATATTAATGCATAGGTGGGTTGTGCTTGCAGAG